GAAGGAGGAAAGGTTTCTCTTGGTTCAGAGTTTGCAGAGGATTCATTCCAAGGTTGGCTGGCTCCAAGGCAGGCATGGCAGGAAGGAGGGAGTGGCAGAGAGCTGCCCATCCCCGGGCAGCCTGGAAGGAGAGCAGAGAGCAGAGAGCGGAGCTGCAGACAAGAACCCACCCCTCCAGGTCACGCCGGGCGCCCACCTCCAAATGCAGTAGAGGAATCCAGTAATGAGTATAGCGCCCCACGATCCAATTGCCTTCCTAAAGCGTCACCTCTGAATATGGAAGACTTTTGGGGGCCATAGTAGATCTAAAGCACAGTAGAGGTACAGTTCCATTTCATTGGTAAGGATTATGGACGGTGCATTTAACTTCCATTTTTAACTTATACTTTGCCCACCCTCAAAATGAATTTAAGGCAGTGGTTTTAGCGTATGAAATAATTTTTACAGTGATACGTCTATTCTGTTTTTTGCTGTACTTTTTGTAAAGGTTTTTTTCTGAGTAGCTGTCTACAGAGTTCAGTGATAGTTTATGAGCCTTGGAAATGTTTTCTCTGCCAGAACAAATCACCTCTCAAGATGTCCTTTCTAATTTGCAAACAAAATCAATATTCCAGTTTTTAAAATTAGCATACTCTTAGACAAGATAGATAATTAATAGCTACAGGATATTTTCGTCATGTTTCTAGTAGTGTTAACCTAACACTGAGGTTTATTTTTATTTGTTTGTGTTCCTTTTTCCTTTGAGACAGGATTTCAGAGTGTAGTTTAGGCTGGCATTGAACTCTTTGTGATCCTCCTGCTTCAGCCTCCTGAGTCCTGGGATTATAGGTGTGTGCCTATAGTTGGCAAAGTTGGCATTTTATGTGGAAGATTGCTGTCTGGGTGGTTAATTTATATTATATCTGATAGAGATATATTTTTGTTTAGTGCAGGGTAGGTCACACCAGACAGTGTGGAGCTTGGCCCACAAAGATCAGTCATGTCATTTTGGGCGAGGCTTGTGTCTCCAGTCCCCTTGGAGAAGGAGTTCAGCAACATGGCAGTCATTCAAATGATCATGCCAACATGATGATGTCGTAACATAAACTCCAGATGTTGAAGCTTGAGTGAATGTGCCCAGTTGGCATCACTATAGGCCACACGGCACTGCTGTGCCACATTGTCACATACTAATGCTACCGGGAGCTTCAGATTTGGAAACCTCCCTGACACCGCCCTGTCTGCTTCTTCCCTTGATTTATTTTCACCCGTAGTTTTCATTTAATCCAAAACCTGAGCATACTAGCTTTCAGTGAGTTCTGAGTTCTTCTGGTGAGTTGTTGAGCCCAGTGGTGGCTTACTAACCCTCCGAACTTGTCGTTGGTGTCAGAATTGAGGGCAGTCCTGGGACCCACTAACCCCAGCTATGTGGTTTGTTTTTATGCATTAAAGTCTTTCATCTTATATGTCACTGCAATAAAAATGTGCATAAATTCAATTTTAAAATACCTTCCAAACATTATAGTATAGCTGGCACATAGTAAAGTAACATGAATGTATTAAAACATTTGTTAAATTGATGAAAAGTAACATTATTGGAAATGCATCTTTTAATGAGACGCGTGAGGTTATTTTTAAACATTCTTCCAGTTAGTTTCTGTCTGTCTGTCTGTTGTTTTTTTTTTCCTTTTGTCTGGGAATCAAACTCAGGACCTTGAGCTTGCTTGGCAGGCTGCTGTGCTGCTGAGCTATATCCCCAGCCCCTGCTTTTTTTTGAGGCAAGGTTTCTCTGTGAAGTTCAGGCTGGCATTGAACTCACTTTGTAGCTCAGGTTGGCCTCAAACTTGCAGCAATCTCCTCCTGCCTCAGCCTCCCAAGTGCTGGGATTACAGGCATGTTCCACTACAGTTGGCTCCAGTTAGTTTCAATCTGGATAAATAATTGTGGATAAGTAATACTGACCTTTGCAATAAGACAGTATTTAGTATCTTTTTGTTCTGTTTTGTCTTGTTTTTTGAGACAAGGTCTATGTAGTTGAGAGTGGCTTTGAATTTACCGTGATCCTCTTGCCACAGCCTCCCGAGTGCTGGGATTACAGGTGTGCGCCACAGCACCTAGCTCAGTATCATTTTTGTTTCTCTCTCTGTTCTTTTAGAAGTATAAGTTCTGAGAAATCTGTTCATGTAGGTAACTGGATTTTGAGCATTTTCAGCATCACCAGGGTGTGGAGTGGGGAGAGAGGACCCTTCTACATTGTTGGTAAGAATGTAAACTAGTACAGCTACTTTGGAAATCAGTATAGAGTTTCCTCAAAAAAACTAAAAGTAGAAATTTCATTCAACCCATCCATGTATTCCTTTTAGTATCTTTCTGAAAGAGTTAAAGACATCATATTACATTAAATGTATTCCCACGTTTATAGCAACACAATTCACAATGGCTAAATCTTGGCAGATGAATGGATAAAGAAAACGTCTTTATACACAACAGAATACTACTCTGCCATGAAGAAGAGCACCTTGAGACCATAACGTTAAGTGAAGTAAATCAGCACAGAAGCTTAAACATCACATGGCTTCTCTTACATGAGAAATCCAAAGTATAAGTAACTTAAGGAGCAAAAGAAAAAATCAGAAAACAAGGCAGATCTTTTGTAAACAGCAACAGATATTTTGTACATGGGAGGAGGGTCTACAGATGAGGGGAGGGGCAGATTGTGGGGGGAGAAAGTAAAAAGAATTAAGGTATGTTATGTACATGTACTGACTCCCCACAATGAATATAATCATTATGTACAATAAGTAAAAATATCAAAGAGTTTTCAGCATTCATTCAGTTAGCTGAACTCCATCAAGTGATCTGTAATAAAAAATTATTTGACAAGGTTCTTCAGTTTTGTTGGAAATAAGTTAGACACCACCCGGCTTGCTAGTTATTAGAGTTGCTAGAGACCTACAATTCTGGGACATGCACCAAAGAGGCTTTCACTAACCCTTCTTAAGTAACTATTAATTGTATCTATTAGTCTTCTGCTTAGGGGAACATTTCAGGAAGTACTTACACGAGGGAAAATTCAAAAGGTTATTTTTTAGATAAATTGTTTTTAATCAAGGCTTTAAACTTTGATTCAGAAGTAATCCACTTAAGGCCATTATCTGCTCTGTAACCTTTTCGGAAAAACTGTTCTTCACTGTCAAACCAGTCAGACCTACTTTCATGCTAGAAAAATCTGATTTCACTTTCCAGTTCGAATAAATGTGGTACAGTGTGTTCCTGTGACAGCTATGTGTCTGCTTCCTCTCTCGCTGTGCTGTCCGCCGGTCTAAACCCTTGGACTCCAGGGATTCTCCTACCTCAGCCTCTGAGGTGCTTTTCCAACTGTTGCGCGCCGCCACACCTGGCTGTTTCTGTCTGTTTTGCATGCTGGGGATTAAACCCAGGGCCTTGTGCATGGAGGCAACGGCTCTACCACCCAGCTACGTACACCTCAGCCCCTTCTTCCGATCCGTAATCCTCAGTAGGGGGAGGGAAGGGAAGGAGCCTTGTTTTAAACGTATATCCTCATTAACACCATCTTCCTTGCCTTTTATTGGAAACTGTCTTAGCTCTGGTTGACAGGACTCTTCCTGCAAAGTAATGCATTCTCTGATGATTGAACATGGAATAAGAGTGGTAAACTTTTTAGATAAAAATTGTAGTGAACTTCTCCTCCACTCTTCAAAACATTGGGAAGTAAAACATATTATTACGGTTCCACATTTCTAAGTTCATTTATTCCAGAAATAACGTATCAAACAGGGAATTCCAGAGTTAGTTTATGATCCCATGAGAGTGTTTTGCAGACCGGGCATGATGGTGGATGCCTGTGATCCCAGCCCTGGCTAGGCCGTGGCAGGAGGGTTGAGATTTTAAGGTAGTGCTGAACTAACAGACCCTGTCCAAAAGCAAAAAAACCAAAACAAAACAAAACATGCTTTACAGACAGAATCTTTCAGAATGTTCCTTGCTTAGCACCATAGAAGTTTTGTGCCCCAGCTGTATGGTAGGGATAGAGGAGAGGTGCGCCTTTCTTTGTAAAGTGGGTAAAGGCATCTATGAAAGGGGGAGCCGGGAAGAAAAATCACCAGGAGCCTTCTACTTGGCCATCTGATCCATTGTCATACAGGCTAGTTTTAAGAAAGGCTTTAGTACAAATGGAAATTGAAGGTCTGTGAGGTATTGTTTATTGTTGTCTATCGGTTTCCGTGTACCCCTCGGTCTTTCTACTTCCAGTAGTAGAAATAGTACAGTACTGTGAAAGACCCTGATCTAATACTTAGAGCAACCCCTATTTTATAGACAGGGAAACTGAGGCAAGGAGGTGCAATACTTGCCTGTGGTCTGTCAGTTAGGTAGATATCTCAGCCCAAAGCTCCCGAAATGTTTTTTCCTCCTGTGTCTCACTATTTAGTACATAGCTGGTCCATAGTAGATGCTTGTTATGTACTTGATGAGTGAATAACTCTGTATTGTTTTGTGAACTCTTAAATATGTAGCCTTGTAGTAGCTGAGTTTCAAGTGCCGGATGAGAGTAATGTTGCCTGTGATTCACCGAAGGGTTCTTGTGTTACCAAGTGGGTCAAATTGATCTCCCTTCAGTTCCCATGCTGGTGTCAGAGGAAGTGACTAATAGAACCATCTGCTTGGGCCTGCTTGGTGTTTTATTAATTGAAACAGAGGACAATAATAGTGCAATAGTGCTTGTTTGGTAGGGGACAACTGACTGTATGTTAATACTATGATCAGGACCAGGCGTGGTGGTGGAGGCCTATAATCCCAGCACTTGGGAGGCTGAGGCAGGAGAATCACTTCAGGTCAGCCTCAGCTTTACAGTAAATTCAAGGCTAGCCTAAACTACATAGCCAGACCCTATCTCAAAAGAAACAAACAAGCAAACAAACCAAAACTGTGGTGAGATGCCTTCAGAGACAAATGTACTTCTGAGCTTGTGTGACCAATATACTTCTGTTTCTGTGTTACAGATACTCTCTGAAACCAAATGACCAAATCTTGGCTGAGGACAAGCACAAGGAACTGTAAGTTTATTAACCCTAGGCTGTGTACACTTCTCTGTTTAGGAAGTAGTTGTATGTAAACAATCTCATTTTAAAAATTACATAAAATACAAAGGTGTGTAATTAACACTATGACCTTACACATGGTAGGATTAGGATAATTTATACTAGATTATTTGTATTGCATAAGGTTAAGACTGGGAATAATTGTCTCTGTGTGCACATTAAAATATGTAGCATTGAACTGGGCGTGGTAGCACATGCCTGTAATCCCAGGACTCTGGGAGGCTGAGGCAGGAAGATCACAAGTTGGAGAGTGACCCAGCAGGCAGTATAGTGACTTAGTGAGACCCTGTCGCAAAATAAAGTTTTTTAAAAAAGTAATTGAGCTAGGGTTTAGCTTAGCAGCACAGTGCCTGCCTGGCAAGCTCAAGGTCGTGAGTTTGATTTCCGGTACTGGAAAAAAAACTTAAAAAGTAATTAAAAATATTTTAATTTTCTTTCTTTCTTTCTTATGTCTTTTTGAACTCACTTTGTAGCTCAGGCTGGACTTGAACTGGCAATGACCCTCCTGCCTCAGCCTTCTGAGTGCTGGGATTACAGGCGTGCACCACTTGATATACTTTAAATATAAAGCTTGTAATATGAATAAAATTTTGTGAGCTTTAAAAATTTTAATGTACTTCTGTTAAGATTCTATGTTTTATTTTTAGAAAACATAGGATTCTGGTATATTTTCTTTGCTATTTTTATTTCCTAAGGTGGTATTTAAAAGAACATTACCTGTCAGGAGCTGAGAAGCTTTTGGTTAAAAATGATAGGTTTGGGAATTTTTAAATTTATTGCAGCCTTTTGAACACTTTAAGATTATCTAAAGAGGGAAGCTTTAAAAACAAAACATTTTGTATGCTTCTCACTATTTTATAGCAAGTCCGCTTTTTATGTAGTGAGGAAAATGCTGAAATATTATATAGATACTTACTTCTAAATAATGCAGTGGAAGTATGAATTTGAGGAATTTAAGATTAACTATGCCCTTGGGTTGAACCATAGTTCTTGGTAAACACTGGTACATTTTACATGCCCCCTTTGGCATTTCTTTAATGTTCAATACTATCTACTGTGTTTTTTTGTTGATGTTTGTCTTTTTGAGACAGGGTTTCACTATGCAATTCAGGCTGGCCTTGAACTCACTTTGTAGCCCAGGCTGGCCTTGAACTTGCAGTGATCCTCTTGCCTCAGCTTCCTGAGTCCTGGGATTGCAGGTGTGCACCACCACACCTGGCTCCCATAACTATTTCAACACATATATCCTCAATTCATGTTTAATATTTTAGAATTTTTAAAAAAAATTTTTGCCTATTCTAGAATTTCTAATAAATGGAATCATATGTGTATGTTATTTCATATAAGACCTCTTTTGCTCAATGTTTTTTAGATTTATCAGTGTTATTGGATGTATTGGTTCATTAATTTCCGTTTCACTGGTGATTAACATTACATTATCATCTTTATTGGATAGTATTGTCACTCAGTTGAATTGACATTAGTTGATAATCTTAATCCTTTTGGCTTGTGGTTCTCTGTCTTAACAATTTTTGGCCTCTGCATTAAAGAAAACTCTCAGATGAATGTGCTACTATTAGAGCAAAATATTACTTAAAATACTCAACAGCAGCTCTCCATGAAAGCTGCTCATAAATAATCTGATTTGTTTCCTTGTAATTAAAATAGCCAAAATCTCACAGGGAAATGTTTGAGAAGGTGGAAATGCTAATTACCCTGACTTAATCATTACACACCATATACTCAGTGTGATTGAAATACATGGTGAATGTTTAAATTTAAAAAAATTACAGTAAACAACTCAGTGCCTTTAATTTTGAGACAGGGTCTCACTGTGTAGTTCAGGTTGGCCTTGAACTCACAGCAGTTCTCCTGCCTCAGCCTCCAGACTGCTGGGATTTTCTTAAAATACTCCCTCTTGCTTGAAATACACTTATCGTGTCATTCTTCCCACCTTCTGAAGCAGTCTGAAAGCCATCTTTTGTGTCTTTATGAGGCATGATAAAAAAATACAGTGAATGCCATGCTGTGTGGCAGCCTACAAAAAGCCAGACTTGTAAAATATTAGTGTGTGCCCTCATCCACCTTGTTCACCTGATCTTGCACCTTGCTCTTCCCCAAACTCAAAGTAACCAGGAAAGGTCAGTGTTTTGAATTGATTTCAGGACAGCAAGCCAGCCACAACAGCATAACCAAAAAGACATTCATAAAAGAAGATGGGGGCTGGGGGATTTAGCTCAGCGGCAAAAGTGCCTGCCTGGCAAGCGCAAAGTTGTGAGTTCGGTTCCCGGTACCGGAGAAAAACAAAAACCAACACACACACAAAAAGACATTCATAAAAGAAGACGTCAAGAACTGCTTCAGAAAGTGGCTAGTGTGGTGGGCTAAGTGTGTTGAAGTGAGGGGGAGGATTTTGAGGGAGATTAATGGCAATGTGTCTTCTTAAACATTCACTGTGGTTTTCTAACATCTCTCACACATGTATCAAAGTATTGAATTATCATGCTGTACCCTACACATGTCTATAAATATTATGTCCATATAAAAAGCCAAAATCTCTTTGTGCTTAAGACCAACATTTTAAAAAATATCCTAAGAGAACTGGGTGAGGTGGGGCAGGCTGGTTGTGTTGGACAGGAGGCTGAGGCGGGAGGGTCCCAAGTTCAAGGCAACCGCAGACAACTTAATGAGGACATGTCTCAAAATAAAATTTTTTAAGAAGTGCAAGGGATCTAGTTCAGTGCTAGAGGGCTTGTCTAGCATGGGTTCGGCTCCCATGCTCGGGGGACTATGGGGAAAACATAGATACAAAATTTCATTATCCAATTAATAATTGTATGCTTTATTTTCATGAAACGTTATTATTGCTTCAAATTTGTTCAAAACAGTCTTACTCAACATAATATTGTAAAAAAATTTTCGAGACTGTCACCTTGGCTCACTTAGTGACAATGTACTCTTATGCTGTATGTACCAATAGGAGCTTCCAATGCAGTGATAGCACTGATTATCTTATTATATTATGTGCAGTATCTGTGCTTTCACTGGAAACATTTTCAGTTCCTGAGATCTCGTGATTCCAGCTGCGTGCACACTTAGTGACACGTGTCTCGCACATGTGCTTGCTGTTTCCCTGGAGAAGACTGACAGCAGAGAGGAAAAAATTATTCAGCAGTGACACTTGTTTCTCTAAGCTGAATGGCTTTGCTCAAGTTTGTTTTTTGTTATTGTACATACTAAAGACCCCACGGGTTGATTTGGGGTAGGAAAAGCAGAATGGTTAAAGCTGTGTACGACTGATACAAAACAGTGGGATTAATACTTTGCTCTGTGCACGATTTCATAGTGAACAGGTTAATTTGTCTTCTGTAGGTTTTTTTAAAAGAGTAAAAAAACTTACTGGGGAAAAGAAAGGGGGAATAGGAATATCTCCTGAGACACAGGAGGCGTCCCGAATGGCTTGCCAATGAACCCCCCTCTCACAGGAAGCTGTATAGAGGAAAATCACTAGGTGGGTACAGTGTGGGCCAAAACTATGATAAACCAGTAAGATTACAAGTGTAGCTGCTTAGGTAATACTAATTAATAAAGGCATATGGACGACATCATTAACCTTGGTTGATAATCAATAGTCTTAGTTTTTGGAGTCTTAGTCTTAGTAGGCTTAGTTTTAATGGGTGGTAGAGCATGGCTCACCCCTAGTGAGACTCTCACAAGGTAGTACCAGTAATCTCAAGCTTCTGTTTATCCCTTAAGGAAGTATGTAAGCTGGCCACTGTAACTTTAATCTACCGATGTGCCTCAGTCACAGTTTTGATGTGATCTCACCTTTCGCAACTGATTCTCTCGAAGGCCTAGCCCTGACTGACTGACTGACTGACTCTCGAAGGCGTAGCCCTGAATGACTATAATATTTCTATTTAACTTAGCTATAATATTCCTCTTTCTAAAGAGCTATCCCTAACTGCGGTTAGGGGAGAAGGGACATAGCTTCCATCTAGCTGCTTTGAGCTGAGTAGGGTATTGCAGAGGGAGCAGTGAGCTTAACTATTATAATCTCTGAATATCAAGCACTTTGAAATACAAGGATAGCCCGAGGACTGTTATTTCTTACCTTTTTTTTTTGTTTTTTGTCTTTTTGAAGCAGAGTTTCACTGTGCAGTTCAGGCTAGTTTTAAACTTAGAGCAATCCTCCTGCCTCAGCCTCCTGAGTGCTGGGATTACAGGCTTGTACCACCAGGCCCAGCTTCTACTTAAGGTTTTAAACCGTGTCAGCCAGAACTACTTGTCAGAATTTCCTCCTCCTCTCTATGCTTGCAGCTTAAATTTAATCATAAGAGAAGTTTGTATATTGTTTGAGGACAGGTAAAGCTGAAACCATTTTACTGCAAAGGTTGTCCCTGATTCATAGTGAGGGACAGACACAAAGTAGGGGCAGAATTCCAGCCTGTCCTCACTCACTCCTGTTGTCCCTCACCCTCCGGCCACCAGCCCAAACCTGTCACTAGGTCTTCACGGGAAGCTCTTTGGTGGCAGCTGTACACTGCCAGCCACACACCAGCCCCCTTCGCAGATTTCACTGCAGCAGTCTGACATCCTTGTGCTCATTAGTGACTTGTCCCTGGTCCTTTGTGGACCTGTGAACTTGCCTAGTTTGTCCACAGTTGAACAAGTTTTAATATTTATAATAAATTTCTTTTCTTTTTTGCTTTTTTTTGGTTTGTTTTTGTTTTTGTTTTTCAACTTTTTTTTTTTTTTAAGAATAAAAGAAGGATAACAATAATGGGGGGGGCTTACCAAATTACAGACAAAGTGGTAGGAAATTATCAATG